ATGAAAGTTTCTGAAAGATTTGTCAAATATGAGTTTGGAAGCCAACAGAGCTGTTGCTTTGCTCTGTGAGCACAGAGAAGGCAAACATTAACACTTACAGCTAAAAATCCTTAATCATTCCAGTGCTCCTTGTTGGCCCTCTATCAGATCCTGAGATCCTCATCAGGTTTTCTTCTACATTGTCAGAAAAATCCTGATGCTCTAAATGACTGTGCTAATCTTGATACTTCTTTAAACAGTTGAGTTGAAGTCCAAAAGCCATATGTGCACTAACACCCACCCAGGACAGTCAGAGGAAAGAATCATTTAATTTAGGTATATGAAATCACAGCACTGTCAGTTATATGAGGGTAACTTTGCACAGTGTAAAGTTAAGCCTAGGCTTCTCCCACCCCTTTATCCCCTCTTCTTCACTTTTTAAGACTAAGTCTTACATATTACATGGAAGAAAGAAAGATGCCAGTTGTGCAGCAGAAATACATAGCACTGTGGTGATGCAGAGCAGCATTTTCTCCAGGAGGGTATGTCTCAATTACAAGAGAAACCACATTCCCTCCTTTTCATTTTCCTGCTTTTCTGCCGTGGATTACTTGAAGCCAAACCATAAAATGAATAATCACACAATATCAGAACAAAATAGGAGAGTCTCCAAATATTCTATTTTTTTAGTTTGGCTTCATTTATCATGTATGTCTCTACCTGATGGTAGAGAGATGACATATATCACAGGGTATAGGTTGTTTGTAATGTGTTTGCAGTAAACATTACTCTGAACAAATGTAATTTGATCTGATTTAGTCACAGTTAATGTTGAGTTTAAACTCAACATATATGAACAGATATTGAGTTTGAGTGTTTCAGACTGTAAACTGAAAATTATCTGATGACAACTAATCTGCAGTACCACCTGAGAATTCACTGATTTACTAATGTTAAATGAAGATGAGCAGTTCACTGATGAACCTGGAAAAAAACCCCCACCTGGACAGAACACATACAGCTACCTGGCATTATAAATATCCATATTCATTAATGGGAGGGCAGTTGCTACTTGGAAGGTGCCAGTTTGGAAACCACAGTCAAGTATGTGACTATAAAGTGTTCAAATACATGTACTTGGTTTTGGTAAACTGATTCCTATGAAGGCATCACCCATCACCTATATTGTATCCTAAAGCTTCAGTAATGGTAACACAATCCTGATAGCATTGTGTAATAGGATAACCATGTAATCAAAAAAGGGAAAATAAGAGAGCAGTGACATTTCACTACTTTGTAACAAAAATTATTTGAACAGCTTTTAAAAACACAATAATATTTTTACTAAGTTCTTCCAAAAGCAGAGGGAAGTCTTTTTCCCATTTCTTTCAGCACAAAGTGGAAGGAGACACTGGATAGGAGCTGAAATAGATTATCTATCTGTAACTGTTTGTCCTCGAGGTGCCTTGGTGACATGTACATCCGTGGAACTGAAACCTAGCTGCAAGCCTCCCCACTGTGGCAGCCCACTGCTGCATGGTCACCACGTGCACTGCACACCACTGCAGAGGAGGTCAAAAGCCTCTTAAACAAAGCATGTGAAATTAACCAGGGCCAAGGAAGAGGGAAGAAAGGATGGCTCTTAAAATACGTGCAAGACCTTACAACTCAGGAAGGATCAGAAGATGTAGCAATCTGTATTACTTCCTTGTAATATCAAATGTTTGTTTACTTTAAACATCTGCCAGAAAAACTGTCCATAGAAAAGACCTCAGAGTCCCCCGGAAACAAACTCTCTGAAAGACAGCATCACCCTTTTGCAGCCATGGTGGAAACACAGCATGCCAGAATCCCAAGCAGCGCTCCAAAGTCCTCTATGTACACAGAGCCATCACCAGCATTACTTGGCCTCTAGCAGAATAAACCCAAACTGAAGAGGGAGAGGGGTTTATTTTTCTTTGGTTTTTTTTGCTGAAAATAGTTTTTGTTCCAAGATACACACTGGGGAAAAGCAAGGCGGCTGGAGGTCCCCTGAGGTTCTGACGGGCAAGGGCAGAGTGGTCGAGGCAGCCTTACAGGGCTTTGCTCTCCTCTGCTGGAATGGGCTCCATGCCATAACGAGTAAGTTTTGAGGACCTGACCTCATTGTAAACAACTGTGTTTCTCTGCCCTGCCCTCCTGGACCATGCCATCAGACTGGTAAGGTTTGTTTGTACCTGTTCTTCAGGATATCCCAAGCACCCTCTCCAGAGTCAGCCTCTTATTATCCTCCAGCACTCAAGTTGTCAGCCGGGGCAAGTGTAGCCACAGAGCAGCTGGTCATCCCTGCTTTAGGCTATACTGTGAAATGGGACAGGCACTCTGTTCTATAGGTTAAAGAGGACACCTCATTTAGGGAAACAACATTCCAGAATAAGAATTAAATTTCTTCTGTCGTGGGAGAAAAGGAACATGAAGAGATTGTATCTTTGGAGTAAGGAGACAAGATTTTAGTCTCACTATATGATAAGAAACCAGTAAACAAGAGGACAGAAGTCAACTGTGTTGAGATATCTAATTAGTTCATGAAGCATTTTACTAGAGTATAATTTTGTATGTGTAACAAAGCAAAAGGTACTAATTAATTGCAAATCATTAAGTGCAAGCTGTTTAATAATTATGAAAAATGAATGCAGGCATGCCAAGGTTGGTACAGACAAGAATTCCATATAGCTGAGTGCTGCATTTCCAACAGCAGCCAGTCTACTCAAGAAACCAGTCTGCTCAAGTCTTTACCCATGGGGTCAACTTTTTTTCCCCAACTTTTCTGAAAGAAATCTTAAAGGACAAAGATAATGAATGCCTTCGCAACAAATGACTGGATTAGACAATTAGTGTCTGTCAGTGTCTGTCTCCACCCATGAGCAATTAAAACTTCATGTTCTATGTATAGAAAGCATTGCTATCCCATGTAGAATGCTCATGGATATATCAATCATCCATATTCATGTTCTCGTCTTTTAGAGTTCTGCTAATACTTATGCAGAATCAAGGTAAGTCAGTCATACTCATCTCTTTGTAAACAGTATGCTTCTTAGGGAATCAGAAACAAACATCGGAAGTAAGATTTTACTAGCATAATATTTTCAAAATTTGCTCTTTACCCAGGGACATTGTGCCAAGGCAGAGAGAGTTCAGAAACCACTGCATATATTAGGATAGAAAAAGACTAGAAGCAAAGGGACCACACGCAAAGTGGTTGTAGGCAAAGATTTCCTAGAACAGCAGCTTTCAGCAAAGTCTCACATGACAATGAATTGCTCATCCCCTACAACTGTCTGCTGGGGATTTTTAAGTCTTTACCATAGTACCATACAGTGATTGACCATAAAACCCAGTATAAGGCAAGACAGCGATACACCATTTTATTTGGTGGTAATTGTAGAACAAATGGTTTTCTACAAAAGCAGGCACCAAATTCTGGGAAAGTCTGGGCCTGGAATTTGCAGCTCAGTTATGGCTTAACTAATAATAGCTAACACAAGAGTAAAAGTCACATGAAAAACAGAGTTTCCTTCCCACAGTGCCACTGGTGAAGCATACAAAAGGAAAACCAAAAAAGTCTGAAAACTTCACACAAGTAAATTTTTTTCTTTGTACTGAATGGACATGCTGTACTCCCACTGCTTCACAAAGGAAGTTAAGAGCTTCTTTATATGTCAAGTCTACTCCGTTTTTCTCAACAAAATACAAATGAAAGGGCCATGTCAATTATTAACAGATGACAACAGAGAGCTAGTCAGGTATTTCAAACGCTTGTGTCTCTTCTTCCCACATGAATTCCTCAATAGTAAATGCAAACTAAGTCTTCTTACTACTTTCATCATTTAAATCCATAATTAGAGACTATTAAATAACTTGTTGAGAAGTAAAGGCTTTTTTACATTCCTTCCTCTCTCCTTTCTTTCCCTGGGAGAGCATTTGACCTGACTGTCAGTGACAGGATGACGGGGGGATTTCATGTTCTGAAGGGCACTTGATGAATCAAGTCAGAGCCTTTTCCCCTCTTAATACCTTTTCAGTACCTCAAGCTCATGTGGAAAATCATGCAATCCAGTGGAAACAGAGACACTAGGTATATAACGGGGAAATCTGAAAGCAGACTAAAACTTTAGTCATGTTATGATGTTAACCATCATCTTATGTTGAAAATAAGTCTTGTTTATTATAAACACTTTGGCCAGGCTCTCCTCCCCCATCTCCCTCCCATCCCCAAACTTCACCAACAAAGAGGTGAACAGGTCACCACCACATGAATCCAGCACCATTGCTTGACAGCATGCTTGCTATTTACACATAAGTACAAACTTAACACTGCTTCAGTCCATTCACATCATTTAACTCAAATAAATTCTAAATTTGTCAAAGAATCTCTGCAAACCCAATGTAATCAATAAAAGTGAAATCATATAACTTAGTATCAGTGCAATTGAAAGATAATTGAGAATTATCATAGGAAAACCTGTCAAGATTATAATTACCATAGTAAACTTAAAAATGGCAAACTTTTTGACAATTTTGAAAAATAATCCATATGATCCTAAGTAAGCATGTACTTTTTATTTACTTCAAAATTTAAATCCATAAATTCTAAACTTTCATCAGTTAAAAGGGCCATTTCAAATAGTATGGTAAAAGCACAGCATCTGACATAGCACAAACTGGGGGAATCAATTTTCCCACAGTGGAACAGGTAGCTCCTAGTAATGCCACAGGGAATTACCTGCAAAAACATAAACCAGAATAATCTCTTTGTTTTGGATTTGGCTGAGCTTCACACATACGCTGTTTATTCTGACGGCCATAAAAATGGACAAAAGCAGCACACACATTAGCAGCAGCTCCTGCTTAAAAACAAGAAGCACAACACATTTTCCCCTCAGCCAGCTCCCCGCTGAAAGTATTCCAGACTAAGCCACAAAAACTTAACAGTGAACTTTCGAATGACAGGACATCATGTGCTCCATCAGTCAAGTACTTACAAGGTTTCTTAAACAAATTGATCATGCCTACAATTTCAGACGAAGTCAGAAAAACTCCAGACTTGATCTTCTCTGAGGAAGAAACAAAAGCCATGAAATCACCAAAGAGAAGGGCTTGTTTGCCTTTTTTTTTTTTGTTGCTGCTTTTAAGAGAACTCTGAAGGACATATTGTAACATGATAGGAAACTTGTAGGAACAGCCTTAGAAATAAGGCTGGGCATGTACTTCAGCACCCTGTTCTTAGCGCTCTCCCTGGGGAAAATGCTAAGGGAGATTTTAACCAGCAAGAGTCAAAGTGATTTCAGATTGACAGCTAAGACATTCCAGGTGATCTTACATTTGATATATTAGTTTATGTAATTGCTTTTTGCTCAGTCTTCCCCAGCTACAAAGCCAAAAGTAGCTTACTTGTCCCACAAGGGAAATAAGGTATACTGGGGATACTGGGCAACGCTTTATAGGTGTTATGAATAACAGCAGGGGCTTTAAAAAAGTAAGAAAATTCCTGACATTATAGTATTATCCATGTTTTTACTTTTACAAGAACAATTTAATGTCAATAGCTACCATGAAATCAGGAGGCTGCATTTTCCAAGAAAATTTGTGCCAGACATTAGTATTTTCTGAAGCATCCTATAGTACCATGAAATGGAGACAAGCATTAAGCAGACTTTATTCACCATAAAAGAAGCAACAATGATGCAAATTCCTCTTAGAAAGCAATAAAATTTTGAATATAAAACCCCAAAAAGGCTTCATTATGCAGTTCTCAATCAACACCAGCTGAGTCAAAGCCTACTACAGTACTTCTCTGTGCTCTGGATAAAACTTCCCATGGATCCAGTAGCTCCACTCGCAGAGATGCCGGTCTTCTACAAACACACATTTGCAATAGGATTTAAGGGAAAATATACCCAGTAAAGATAGGCTCTCAGATCTGTAGTTTGGCATACAAATGGAGGTCTAATTTTCAATTCTCTTGGGAACCATCATGCAGTAAAATCCACAACAGGAAATTAATGTTTTAATGATGTCTTTTCAATTCTTGCATGGTGTTTGTTCAAAATCATGTCTTACAAGTTTTACCCAAAGATCAACAACAAGTGTTTATGCTTACGCTTTCACATCCTGATGGTGTTAAGACCAAAAAGTGCTTCTCAGGAAATTCAAGATCTAGAGAAAGACTATACTTTCTCAATGTGAAACAAAACTTTATGGTTTTTATCCAGTTTCAACAGAGGTCCTTGGCATTTGCATATCAATTGCAGAGACTTTTTAAGTCAGAAGATAAAGCCTTTAACAGGGGAAAATTTTAATTAATCTGTTGTACATAGTGCATTTACTAATATCAGATTTCTCAAATTTCCCTCTGTCAAGTCAATTAAAAACATGTATTTGGAAAAACATTGAACAATCTTAGGCTGCTTAGCAACCCCTTCTTTCTAAGCATTGGAAATATAGACATACAGAATAATTTGCATAAAACACAGACAAATGGGATTGAACTGTAAATGAGAGAAGATAAAATAAAAAGCTTGAGAGTTATATCCCCCCTGTTGCTTTCTCCTCTGAGGCATCTCATGGCAAGTTTTTTTTTTGGTAGATATATCAAGATTTATGTGTAATAATGACTTTAGCAACTTCTTTCTTTAGAGACATTTTATTTCACTAATGCAACATTCTCAGGAACCAAGAGAATCACTTCTGCCCAATTTCATTTTAATTAAAAAGAGCTAAAAAAAAAAAGAATAGGAAGATGAAACTACTTTGGTTTGACAAAATGCATGGTATTTTGACCCATCTATAAGGGCTGCTTATGCCACTCCAGCACCTGACAGACCAAGATTCTCTGCAGACAATAAATCACCTCACGCAGCCCCCTCAAGCCTTCCTCCCACAACACTGCACTAGATCTAGCATCCCTCCAAATAACCAGCAAGCCAGGATTAATTCAGACCATGAGAGCTCACAGAAGGGCTCGGGATCATCCGAAAGACTGCACAGGTACCTGAGCAGAAACTCTGTGGATCATAGCTGTGGTCACTTCCCTGAGCACATTCTGCAGCTGTTCAGGTCCTTTGCAGTCTTTTCGATTTGAACCCCATGACTAAGATCCACCTTGAAAACCAACAGATGGACATTACAATATGGTAATGCATAGGTGTCAAGAGGTACCTCTTACAGGGATAACATAATCTACCATCAAAGTTGGAGATGCCTGAATGACCATGAAACAGCCTCCTAGGTGGGGATAATTAGTACCATTTAATCATCACACAAGGTTATCAAAGGACTTTTCGTAGCAACAGCTGAGAAGCAGCATCACTCAGACAACAGACATGAAGATAAGTGGTGGACAATCTGGCAATGAAGAGGCAGAAACCACTCTCCCTATAACTTCCTAATATCAGCTTTATCTCAGTCACATCTGAACTGCCTGCCACCATTGCCATAGCCTTTCTCTGTTTAAGCAGGGTTGAAAATTGAAACACAAGCTTTTGTTATATGTCAAAATATTAAATGAAAGAGGGTTAAATGGTGAAGTGACAAAATTAAGCTCAATGCAAAGTTTAAAGACAAAAATAAAATGTTTTCCTTCAACTGGCTTGCCTGCAAATAGGTCTTGATAGATGAAAAGCGCAATGCAGTAGGCATTTAAAAGGTCCTAGTTATTCCCCAAACAACTCCAGTTCATGTAAAGCCCCTAAAACACATATGGTGTGTTTTGCTTTTACATTAGCAGATATTAATTACATAATTCACATACCTGAACTGGCAGAAATCCCATCCACTGATGCCAAACTAAAATTTTTGCCCCTCTGGCCAAAATTTCATTTGGACCTATTTTCAATGCAACAAGAAATGGAGGCAGTGGAACTGCTAAAAACTTGTTATATGTAATTGTAGATATGCAGGTTATTTATGCAAGTATAGGTTTGGCATAGGCACTAGACTAAACTTGGGAAACACACTTGGTCGGAAAACTTACCTGCTCAGTAAAAACCCCACAGATCACCAACTCACTCAAGTGCTCCAGAGCTAAATGCGATCAGTGGAGAATATTGAAGCTAGTATGAGAAACCAAGAGAGAGCAGCAGAAAATGAACTAGGTAAACACCACTGGAGCCAGGAAGTTTCTGATGAGTGATTAAGGATACAAAAGATGGGATCCGTTATCTAGACAAGCATGTCCCACAGGAACAACTAAGGAGGTGATAGAGAGTTCTCAAGCAACGGAGTTGCAATCTTGTCTCTCATGTGTCCCTTAAATGCTGGAGGTCTAAATGGAAAAACTTTCAAGTTAGCATATAAAAATTATCAATATATGGCATTTTCAATGGGATATGCAGTCATCCACCTCTAATCTGTCTCTTCAAAGAAATTCTACTCAGTACGACCACCAAGGCTGCCTGGAGACCACCAAGTGAACTTTGAGAAATACTTTTTCTTTTCTTTGTGAGTGGACAGGTGCCTCATTTCCAGATAAAAGTCCCAACAGCACAGTCCTCAGTGACAGCAAAAGCAGAAAGCACTGAAGGGAGCAGCGTCTCCCTGGAGATATGCACCTCTGCCCCAGAGCAAGCACTGACTGCAGAGTGCCAGTGCTCCCCAGGACATGCTCTTCTGAAGGCAGACAGGGAACGCCAATTTGCCGAAGTGTTCAACACAACACCTCTCTGAAGTTCTGACTGTGCAAGCAATGGCAAAATGATAATTTTTTAAAATGTCTTTAACAGAAGTCTTGATTGGAATGAAACATCTCTTGCATTAATCAACATCCTTGCATCAAAGTAAAATCTGGCAAGTATAGCTTCTTATTCTATTAAGCCACAAAACCTGTTTAATCTTGCTCTATTATTGTCTTATTTATGAGCAGCTAATTTCTGCCAGGTTGGCTCAACTAACCAATTTATGTTGCTATGATTCTGAAATTTTAAAAAAAATCTGTTACACAACCAGAGCAGAAATAAAAACACTCGAGCAGCTGAAAGAGCAGAGCTGAATAAAAAGTGCTACAAAAAAGGAACAGATTTAGGAATAATGAGGTCACCTCACACCTCAACACACATGAAGTTATTCTGTTCACTCAAATAACTTCACGTACAGTAATAGTCACAGCACAAAATACCACACCATTTTAAAGAGACAGAAGCATTTCCAATACTTTGGCTAATTAGAAAAAAAAATAACACAGAACAATACCATCATGTGTTCCCCTTCCAGCTTTCTCCTGGCTTTACAGATGAAGACAGAATTAAGCAGAGTGGAAAATGTTCCCTCCCTCCTCACCTCCTCTAAGTGAGAGACCCCTAATCTGGGCATGTGGTTGCATGTGGATGCTCCAGAGCATCAAGCAATAGTGGCATTTCTGGTGCATTAGAAGCATCTTGTGCCTGCTCAAGCAAGCACTCAGATGCTGCTGCGGTGGCAGCATGAAAGATCTGCTTCTCACCAGGCTTTTCAGCCTGTCTTATTCCAGGTGCCTGCAGTTTGTTCTTTACTTAGCAAGGAAAAGACATAGTATTAGCTTCCCTCCAAACTGTCAAGTCAAACAAACCAAAATTCAGAGCCATGAGGTCTGGCAATGCCAGTGTTAAGGTTCCCTGGGAGTGAGGAGGAGGGGAGGACCAGTGGGAGGCAGGAAGGGAAATAGATAGATGTTCAAGTGACCAAAAATGAATGAACAACTGACAAGTAGACAAGAAAGGAAAATGATTAAACCACTCTAACTCTTCATTGTATTGGTGATATCAGTGCAGCCAAGAGCTGGGGGTTTTGTGTTGGTTTTTTTTTGGTTTGTTTGTTTTGTTGGTTTTTTAAAAAGCAAACCTAGAGAGCATGATTTTTTCAAATAGAGAGGAGTGCAGCGGTCAATATCTAATAAAAGAAAGTTCCAGATGTCAAAATTGTTCAAAAAGCATGACTGCCTACTGAGCTAAAGCATGATATTGCTATCCCTAAAAGGGAGTTGGTATCTAAGCAAATACAGGTTGGAATCACTGACTCATCCAATCTGGGCCTTTAAGGCAAACTGATGAAAAATGAAGGGCTGACAGAAGGAAAAGAGGGGGGAGGAAAATAAGGAGGCAGAGGGAATTTGAACAAGATTAGCTACATGTGAATCCTAAATAAAGATTAAAATCAATGCCTAATGGATTTTGGGATTTCTGAAGTCAAGATAAAGAAATTAGGAGAAAACTGGCAGTTCATAAGCTTCTATGATGACTTTTATTGGGACGACTTTCAGCAGTATTTTAACCTTTAAGAGTTACAATTGCATACTTCTTCCACACTTCTGAAAAACATAAGGAGAATCTGGCATTTAGTGTAGGCATCTAAAAATCACCATTCCCATTCCATAATTAGCTCAAGTAGCTATTTTTTACAAGCAGAAAGTCTTTCCCCAATTTCTACTGTTTATACATCCTGCTGCTGCCAACAGAGTCAAGCACTCATAAGAAAGTTGAATAGCATGGGTCTATTCTGTTGCACTAATATGATAAACATCACTGATGGAATGACCTTAAATGATCTTGTTCATCTAGCTTTTAGTTAGTTGATACAGATTAAAAATCTTTAAAGCCAGAGAAAACACTTTGAACTTCTGCTTCTGTAACTAGTGCTCAACATAAGTCAGATTTCTTTGCAGATAAGAGGCATTTCAGTCTTCTCAGGGAATGTTTTATACTTTTTAGAATTAAGATTTCTGTAAGAAAGTTCATTATGTCTTCATTCATATATATTCTTACTCTCTCTCAATGGACTGAACTGTAGGCTTGTCCATTTACAACTTCATATAAACATCACAAAGGCTATATAAATTTCCTTTATGTATTTACTATTAATTACAAGTTATTAAGCTGTAGGTGATGAGGAGTGCCTTTCATTTTCATGTGACAGTCTTTTAAAATTTACTTTCTGGTCTGTTAACTTTAAAGTTGCTGAGCCAGTTCCCTTGGAAAGGTGCTAGCTTCCATGATGGCAGGCCTATTAATCACTTCAGCAGAAGTAAAATATATAGATGGTATTGTTTACACTAATGATGTCTACAACTAAGACACCAATACCCCAAATGAAGGATTCACTTTAATTTATCCTCAAGCAGCTTCCAGAACTGGAATCTAAAAGAATTTTGTTCTTTGTGATCTTATTTTCCATAATTCCTTCCTATGTTTCTATCACTGGAGATTTCCTTATTGCAGCTTTCTTTTTATACCTTAACAGAGGAAATCCTGTAAGTTTGGGAATAGAAAAGATTGTATTTTGAATCCTTAAAGATAGTTTCATCTTTCAGTACTAAACTCTGATTTTTGCTGTGAGGTTGTAGAAGAATGAAAGGAGTAGGGTTGTTTAGGAGTCTCCAAGTGTTTTCTAGGACAAACTGTTGCCAGAGAAAGTTTAGATTCAGCATCAGGGAAAGTTCCTCAATAGAGTATATTAAACAACTGGACACATACAAGAAGTGCAAAAACATTCACCTTAACAAGGTGCTCAGAAATATCAAGAAATTAACAGTCTTACACTTAAAAGAGGAAAGACAAGACAAACTAAATACTTCTGTATTGCTTCTTAGAGACAGTTTCTAGGACTCTCTTATTCACCAAATACTAGAATTAACCTGAACATTTCTACTGCTTGAAATAATGGGGGGAAAAAAAGAAAAAAAGAAAGGGAAGTAAGGAGGAAAACACTAAATCAATTCCTGATGTAAAATCCTGTAACCTAGAATCCCTACACAAATACTTGCATAGTGTTAGACCAAGCAATCAGATATGCTCCAGACCATGTAAGAAAGATACTGGGCGACCCATCGGCAGTAAGAAGGAACTGCAAGACCACCCCAGTCAAATGTACATTTTTCAGATACAAGCAGATTCCTTGCAGCAATTTATGAGGAAGGAAGTTTCCTCTGTTAATAAACTGAAAATGTGTTCTGTCTCTTTAATTTAGAACTGAAACCCCAGTTTATTTTTACAGTACCTGAATCGTCAGTAACCAGTACCTCGGAGTGAACATTTTGATTAGCATCACTTTCAGCTGCAGCCATGGTTTTTTGTGGGTGGGGGTTTTTTCGGGTTTGTTTGTTTGTTTGTTTGTTTCAAATGTTACTGAAACAAGAAGTATAGCACAATACATTTATATAACCACTGAGATTTTGAAATCAAACACGAGTTAAACTTCCTTTATCTTTAGATCGTCATTAATGCCCTAAAATGTATTACATTTTAGGCTGATTTGGAACTACGCAGTAGCACTATTGTAAAGGCACAACAGTCATTACATTACATTAAAATGGAAACAACTAATAATATTGTACATTTATTTAATAAATTCTTTAAATAATATTTTCAGCACTTCTATTTAACACAATAAACAAATAGTGTCATACATACACACTAAATTAGACAGTTTATAGTGTTAAAGACTATTATAGTAGAAGCACTGTATTAGCTATCTGCATGCTGCAGAAGCACAAGGAAATCTTTCACAGGATATTTTTTTCTTCTGACTACATTATCTAGTTGTATGTTTTCCATATTCTAAGTTTCACCAAGGAATAAACACCTACATTTATGGGCTCAATAAAATAAAAAGGCTCAATAGGCACTTTTACTGCCTATGTTACATAGGAGCATTATAATGGTGCATTATATTTTCCAGATCTAAAAATATGACAGCCATTAAAAATTACAGCATTTGTCCATCTGTAAAACATATAGTTCAGATAAAAATAACAGCTTAAAAGTTCTTAAAGAGCTTTTCTAGACAATTTGCCTATGGGTCATATATTTTTCCTACTCTTGCTTCATCTCCAGAGTCATTCTTTATTTTTGGGAAGAAGTCTCACTTTTAGAGAATACACATGTAACATAAAACCAAAGTGAAACACAAAACAGCACTGTATGACATTGTTTTATCCTGAGTTTTATCAACAAAAATTAGTCACCTCAGTAGGATCCTGTAGTGGGAAATGTTATCCAACAACAGCAGGAGAGTTCAGCTCCCCTTTTTACTTACTGATAAAAATGATGGAGTTGAAGAAGGACCTCATCTTGAAGACACCTCTGCCTACTGCCAGTTCACGATATTACAGATCTCCAAGAAGCATTTTAGAAGCTGCCTAAGTTTCTGAGCTGCATTTCAGTTGAGAGACTCATTCAGGTGGAGCAGAGGAAAGTCACAGGGAATTTTAAGTCTTTGAATACACACCAGCTAGTCAGTCCATTGGCATAACTGAATTTAACATGCCATTTCATATCATAATTTGCTCTGATATCTGTTTGGATGTCTTTTCTTTTTAGAATTTCCTGAAGAGCTTTACTTCTCTCCATCCTAGTCAGTCACTGAAGCCCAGGGTTATAGTGAGCTTTCAGCTCAAGGAAGCACTAAATCATATTAAAATTAAGCATTTGATTGTCTTTTCCTGAAATAGGGCTTCTAAGGTTATTTAGCCACCTCTGGATGCCTAAGGCAGGACATCACAAAAAAAATATTGCCTTAGCAAAGTCAAATCAGGATTTGTGTCAATTTTTCCTGTTTCAATTCTACAAACCTGAATTCCTAAATACTCTTAAGATTCAAATTTGAACTTCAAAACTGTAATGTAGGAGCAGCCATAAAAAAAACCCCATAGGGAATACTTTAATTCGCCCAGACCTGAAAGTACTAGAAGAAGCATAAGTCACCTTCTGCCCTCAGATAATTTTGCCTACGGCACACCTCACTGATATTTTCACAGAATTCAGCATGGAAGAAATAAAAAGAATGTAACCTATGGAATTACTAAATCTGGATCAATTGTATAAGCTCTTGTCATCAGTAGGACCACAAAAATAAAAATCAAACCAGAAACTAATCTAAATTTTGTAAACATGGCTCCTAACCTTGTGAAAATATTGACTTGACACAGGAAATTCTGAACATGTTGAAAAAAATTCAAGAACCATCAAGTTTCATGGTTTGGACCCCGTTTTGAGACATAAGCAGCCCCAAAAAACTGTCTTGCAAAATTATCAAGACACATTTTTCCATACTGGGCAGCTTCCTGGGGAAACAGAGCAGATACAAAAGGTAACTAGTTCTATGTTGGGAGACTTAAGGAACATGAAAACTGTGACATGACAACTTGTTTTGTTCTGTTGTTATTTATAGTTGTCACGCCATTATTTCAAAGAGAGATGATCAACTATAATCCTGTTCTTCAGCATGCCAGTATTACCTTTCAAAGGAAATTTCTGTAGAAGGAGCTTGTACCTTTTTCTTCACTCTTTCCAGGCTCTCTGAAAGATCCCAAGATTGTCAGGTATTGCTTCCACATTATAAGAGATCTATCTACTGCCCTCCCACTTCCCTGTCAATAATAAAAAAAAGCCAAACCTCTCAACTTCCAAAAGCTTACAGGTTGCCAACCTGGTAAATCTTAGGCACAGATCTCATGACTCTTAGCAAGAGAAGGACTAAGTGCCTAGACTCTAAGCTGGTAACCTCCAATTCCCTATATGATGGCCACACAGAGAAACACACATAACCAGGAGATTCCCCAAATGATACATAAAACAAGTGTTTGGTATTTACAGTTTAGTTTTCAGATCATCAAAATCTTTAGCATTTTTACAGTAATTATTGCCCCATGACAATCAGCAGATGGATGTAACCACCCCAGTTTTCAACTCCTGCTGCAGACAGTGTGATATTCTGAACTAATTCATTAATTGGATATCAGAAAATACTTTCCATTGAACTGAAAACATAATTTCAGATTGCTGCGACTCTCAGGTCATCTTTTTGTTTGTTCTACTTCAATCATGGAGGAGACAAAGACGTTGGTTCTTTCTAAGTATGATAGTGTGGAGGGCCACACAGTGGACGGACACAGCTGTGGTAAGGATAGGTGAGTTTTTTAGTAGAGTTTTCCACATCGTGCAAGGATGGAGCTATACAGCTGAGCTCTACTACCTACCCCAGGTCCCAGGCCAGCATAGCCAGACGCACCAAGTGAACACATCACAGACTGAATAAGCAGTTTTCTCTGGTGTGTGGGGTCACTCCCTCACTGGACTAGAATGAGGACACGACATTGTTCTGCACAAAAGCAAGCTAAGGCTGAGTTGCCTAAGAGCATGAAATCAGAGCCCGTTTACAGTGAAAGACTTCCTGGCTGTTTTTGTGATATTAAATTTGAGAAGACTTCCAATTCACCCACATTACTCTTAGAGGGTTAAAAAATCAAGGGCCTTTTCACATTGCCGCTTATTCTAATTGTCACTAAAATTCATTGCAAGAGTAGTCTAAAAATCTAGAAAATTAATCATGAACAAATGCTGCAATATAATGTTGACTAAACCAAGGTCTCTGTCCATCTTCTTCATTAAAATAGGAAATAGATTATTCTCATAGCTAGTTACTGAACAGTGACTTATTTCAGAAAATCCTTGCTGTTCGTACTTCCTCTGTGGTGACTTGATGTAACACAATCAAATGTATCCATAGTTATCAGTTATTGTAAGAAAGAAATCTGAACTGGATAAGCATAAAGAACAGGAGAAGCAAAATCAAGAAATTACAGAAAAAAGGGAGGGAACCAGATTTGGATGATACAAATGAAATAAAAAGAAAACTTTAATAGCATATAAAATAACAAAGGGTTTCCTGTTCTTCCACTTTTTTTTAAGAATGAAAACAAAAAGTGTGCTTTAAAGGAAAACTGAAGTCTTGGGGGAAGCAGGGTAGAGTCACCAATAAATATGATCCTGAAACCACAAGCATTTTAACCCAGAAAATGTGAAATGGTAGAATCAACTATAAAAAAATCTTGTATGTATTAGAAAAAAACCCAAAATATTAGACTTCAATAACCTTGCTCAAAAATAGACTAACGCTACATTTACAAATGATTTACAACAAAAAGAATCTTATGGATTAAGCAAAATATCTACTCATAGTGTAAATTGTTTTCTAAAAAAGTTTTGGACTTATTTCTGCAGTAAAAAGCAGAATATTCTAACAACAGGATATGTGGGTGGGTTATGAAAGAACACTGGGTACAATGTCAGAAAAGCAACCTAGCTTTAATTCTCTGGGAAGAAACATTATATGCAAATTCTAGATATACACACATGTATATCTTGCATATTTTACGTATGAAATTTGTATTAGTCAGTCTGGAGATGATCACACCTGACCACTGCCCTAGACTGCTCTTTGAATATTTGTATTTTAAGCCAATGGATATTGTATTTTACTTGGCAAAGTATAAAATGTTCTGTTTGAAAAGTGCCATATTGCTTGCTCAAACTAAGTCTGCTCAAAGGAAACAGAAGATAGTTCAGAATCTGTAATCCTCACACACAAATGGTATGGAAATATGAGGTTAGAGAGCAGGTAGGAAGCATCCTGCATTCACAGAGCATTTTCCATTGGTGGTGGCACATTTCTTATTTTCCTGCTTTGAAGAAATACGAACATATCCCACCTGTAGTACATTAAGAGACATCATCTCACAAAGAGGTATTTCACAAACACCTCTGTACCTTCAGCTGAGGTGTAGTAGGTTTTTATGGCAGAAAAATGTCAGAATTACTATGACCATCTCGAGAAAACAGAACCTTTGTTTCTTATAAGTAAGCCAATATATTTCAGCTGATCATTTCAGAAGAGTTTTTAATGATATCTGCTGGTCGTTTATTCTCTTGCCACATAACACACCAGCCAAATGTACATTTTGGCAAGACAGTCACAAGTAAGGCAGGACTTTTAGGTAACCAATAGTCTTTGTGAATTTACAGGGTGTTATGGGTTAGACAGGACAGATTCTCTAAAACCACAAAAATAACTTCAAATAACAGAATCATATTGTTTTGTGCAAAAGCAAAGACAACGTTTCTACATTAGAGAGACACCAAACCCAGATTTACAGAAATGTGGTGTAGAGTGTTTGCAAGTGACATCATTGATGAACACATTTGCCCTAGAACCACATTGCAGAATGGCTGCTATAGAAATAAGTTATTACCTATTGTTTGGAATTCCAACACTCTTCCCAGAACAAGAAAAGAAAAACGGGGGGGGAGAAAAAGAGAATCTGAATAGGAAAAAACCTCTGCTGCTGTTATTCCACTTTGAGAATGCACAGTGAAGTATGTTTTAACTGTTTTCAGCTTCTTCCGTTACCTTTTAGAACTGAAACGTCAAAGGAAGCAGAGTTGTAAATATTTTACAAATAACCAATCAATCCAAAACCTGGTAGAAAGGAAAATAGTGCAGATCTGTTCTGATAAAAGCACAAATGGTAGACTACTACTTAGCATCAACTCCCAGAGGCAACATTCTACAAACATG